TTAAACTATAACTACTGAAATGACGTTTCACTAGCTAGTAATTTAAAAATAAGTTTTAGGGTAAAACGATGTCATTTCAACCCAAAAAAACAAAAATAAAAAATAAAAAAATAGAATAGTCATGTATCGGGTGTATCGTATTGTATCGTGTATCATGTATCGTACGATATGGTGCAAAAATTATGCAAAGACACGATACGTATTGTTTTTCAGGTGTATCATGACGTACCGTACGATACGTATCTTGTATCGTACAATACTAATAATTATGATTTTAGATAGGGAGTGAACAGAAGTGAGGAAAGAACAAAAGTCAGGAGAATAACATGTGTTACTCCAACCAAACCTGGACTTTTGCGAGAGCATTGAGGATAGTGTGTGGTATGATCCACAGTGTCTGAACTTGATTGGGTGACAGGAGGAGAGTGGGGAGACACCTCATTCGAAGAGGAGGTAGTTGGAGTCCTGTGAACATATGTATGCACAATCAGAGGATGAGGAATAGTCAATTCATAAGGGGAAGGATTTGGCACAGTTAAATTACCAATATATGTGTCATGAGGAACATTAGCAGGAATCAGATCAATGTACGACAGATCGGACTTATTCAGTGGAAAAGAAGTAGATGGAATTGAAAAGAAGAGAATATACTTCATAAAGACAACATGGCGAGAGACATAAAGTTTATGGGTAATAGGATCATAACAATAATACCCTTTTTGACCTTGATCATAACTAAAAAAGACATGTAAAGTTGAGCGAGTTGAAAGTTTGGTACGAAGAGCAAAACATAGCAAGTACAACCAAACATAGGTAAAGAGAAATAATTAGGCGGCTTATCGCATAATTTTTCAAATGGGGAGACCCCAGAGGTAAGGATAGTAGGAATACGGATGATCAAATGAGCTGTTGTAAGATTTGCTTCTCCCCAAAATGAGTTGGGAACATGGGCTGATAATAGAAGGGAGCATGCTGTCTCTAGACTATGACGGTGTTTACGTTCGACGACATCATTTTGGTCAGGTGTGTCGGTTCAAGAGGATTTATAAAGTGTACTATCTGATTTCAACAAATTATAAAAAGAAGTAAGATTGTATTCACTTGCTTGATCACATTGGAAACATTTAATGATAGTAGAATATTGAGTGCGAACCATGTTATAAAAGCCAGTGAAAATTGAAAAGAATACTGACCGATGTTTCATTAAGTATACCTAACAGTACCTCATATAATCATCATACAGAAAACATAATATTTGGACCCTCCTTATGTAGGAACAGGAGCCGATCCGCATATATCAGAATAAACAAAATCAAATGGTGCAAGGGAATAAGTAACAAATTTATTGAATGGTAAAGAACTAAATTTAGCCGACTTGCATCCACTACAATCAGAAATGTCATGACTCTCTAAATTGCCAAACTACCGGTAGAAGCTAAAAAGTTTAAACGAGAATGAGAAACATGACCAAAGCGAGAATGTCATAAATAAAAATTAGAAGATTGTGAGTTCAAATGAAAAGAAGATAAATCAACAGTAGATGCAATAACTTCTGGAACATAAAGCTTCTCTAACACATACAATCCTCCCTTTTTACGACCTGTCCCAATCAGCTTCTTGGACTGTGAATCTTGCACAACACAACCAGAAGAGGAAAATTGAACCAAAAATCTTGTATCAAATAATTGATTTACGGATATTAAATTCAAAGTGAGCTGAAGAATGTAATAGACATCAGGAAGCTTAAGATGGGAAAAAATAACTGTCTCAACACCAGCTAAAGACATTTGAGTGCCATTGGCTGCAAGTACACATATAGATGGAGGAGAAATAATAGACACAAATAAAGAAGAATCACTAGTCATATGATGTGTGGCACATGAGTCAAAGACTCAGGCGGTGCGAGACATACCTGAAGGACCTGAGGTAAATGAACCTACTGAAAGAGATACTATAAGGGCACTAGGTTGATGGAGGGAGAGTTATTTCTGCAACTGATTAGCAAGCATAGTTAGGCGGGGGACCTGTGAGGAGGACTCGTCCACCGATGTTGCAATTGTTGCTGAATGACGATCTTTGTGCTGAAATTGCTGTTCTCTTAGCATTTTTGTTCACCAGTTTAGGACATTGAGCCGTCAAGTAGCCCTTATCATGATAGAAGTTGCACTCATTTGAAGGTATGCGACCCCGATATTTATTTTGTGAATGAGAAGTCACCATGGGAGTCACAACTAATACACTTTGAGTAGGCAATGGAATAAGACCTTTCCTAGAAAGAGTCTGAAGACGAATTTTTTTAGTCAGAAGCTCATTCACTATTGCATCAACTGAGAGAAGTGGATTATGATAGAGAATAGTTCCTCAAAGTTGTCATTAAAAATTGCACCAACTGCTTCTCCTCCTCTAAAAGTGCGATATATCATATGAGTACTCAGTTCAACAGGTTCAGCAAGTGCTAATTGATCCCAATATTCAGTCATAACTGAGTAGAACTCCTGTATGTTCTTATCACCCTGACGTGTAGTTCGAATTTCATGCTCTAGTTGATACCTATTTGCAAAATTGGACTGAACAAATAAGAGAGTTAAATAATTCCAAATCTCCTTGGCTGTGTTAAACTTATTCAAATGAACACCAATGGTTTGATCAAATGAGTTGTTAATCCATGTGACGAGTTTAGCATTGTTAATTTCCCAAGTATTATATAAGTCAACATATTTTTCGGCCTTAGGATCAGTTAGAGCTGGCGAATAACCAGTAACATAACTCCACATCTCCTTGCCCAACAAGAAATTTTTCATAACATAAGCCCAATATACATACTTTTCACCTTTTAATCTGACACTGATAGCCAGCAAGGAATCAAAATTTCCACTAGCCATAATACCCGAGTCAAGTTGTCCAAAGCAAATATTAAAGTAAACAAACAGCCCAAAGCAAAACACCGAAACATGAAAACAGATAACAGTAGTGATTTTCAGCAAAATCCAGTAACCCAACAACCCAACAAAATCCAGCAACCCAGTAAACAAAAGTAACCCAACAAGAGTAGCAGGACCAAATAACCAAGCAAAACAACAATTAATTCAGCAAAACAACAAGCAAGGTGCAGAACAGCAAGAGCAGTAGGACCAATTAATCAAATTGTAAACTAAAGATATTGGCACCAAACGAAGGAGCAGCAAACCAATCGAAGAAGCAGCAACCAAACCCAGCAATGTGAAGAAATAACTAGACCTAGCAACGAGAAGTGCCATTAGTATGTGTAGCGACTGGTTCAGCGAGGAAGACCCAACAACGAGAAGCACTAGCAGAAGAGAAGAAGTAGCAAACCCAGCGACTAGAACGAGCAGTCTGTGCAGCAAATGGTTCAGTGAGGAAGACCCAGCAACGAGAAGACTCAAAGAAAACCAGATGTGATTTCAGACGGACCCAACATGATTCTGGACAGACCCAGCGACTGGTTCAGCGAGATTCCAGACATGACTAGTCTGATTTTGTGTTTAGGATCTTAATTGTTTTCATACCATGATAATATTGATCAAATCAAATGAGAGAGAAAAGAATGAAACTATATTACGACTATAATAATCTGTCAGCCTAAAACATGAGATACACAATGGAATCCCTTACATAGAAGGGCAACATGATATAAAACAAAAGACTACGCTATCCCTAAGACTAAATATGCTAACTACTCTAACAAGAGTTTCTAAAATTTTCTTCTTTCTAAGAAAATTTACATAAAGGTTAAATTACTACCAATTTCTTGTGTGAAATTGAGATAAGAATGTTGAGATGGCCGAATAACAATATAAGAGAAAGATAGGATTAAAAACCACAATATTGTGGCAAATAAGAGACAATCGAAGAAAGGATGTGGAAGTTGTCAAAAAATGGTTTGGCTGTAAGCAACGATAACCACCTAGAGACTTGATATACAAGAGGAATATAAGTTGCGGCGACATGACTCCAAATAAAGTAAGTCTATATAAACAATGATCAAGTGGCCGATTGAAGTTTTCACACTACTTAAGTTTGAGTTTCACTATAAAACTTCATGAAGAAAGCTCTCTTTGAGAAAGTCAAGCTTTGAATTGAAAGCAAGTGTGATGAACGAGAAGACACTCTTTAAATAGGCCAAATGTCAAGAAATTTCTAATTTAAAGAAGGCATCGATCTTTAAGGACTTGGACTATATGCATTCTGCTTACTAATCCTCGAATTGACAATGATATACACCCCATGAGCATGGATTGCACCCTTGTTTGGCGGTTTTTGGTTTGGTTTCACTATTTCAAAAATAAAACCAAAATAAGTCAATCTTTAGTTCAACATAAATATCAAAAAAAGGTAGGTGGATTTACTTAATATAGCTACCCTCATATTGAAAAACAAACCCATGGTACCCACCATCTTTTATTTGGTTACCTTTGGATTTATGTGCAGTTCATTTTTGGATAATAGAGGAGATGTGAGAGATTTTGATTTTCTTGATGTCTCTGGTTTCTTTCTGAAAGGAATCATCTGAAGTTATTCAAACGCTTACTATTCGGGTAAATTGTTGTTTGGCTTTGAGGAATTGCTGATTGTTTGTCAATACAAAATTATAAATGTTGATATTCTTTCTCTCTTTGTTTCTTTCTTGTTCTTCTTCTTCTTTACACTTGTTTCTTTTCAAATCCTGCTGGCATGGAGGTGCAGTGAGAGGCAAAATTATGGACATTGGCCATTTTCAGGTGTTTGGGAAGTTGAGGGGAGGGGGTTGTATTGTTCGTTGCAAATCATAGTTGTTGATTTACAGGTTTTTTTTTCAGGCACTGTAATTGAGCTCATCTCCCATGTGATTTCAGAGTGTTGTAGTTGAGCTCATCTTATTTGTCATCTTTGTATTTTTCGAGATTTTCCCCTTTTAAAGAATGAAGTAAGATGCAAGATGCTCCAAAGATGTTCCATGAGCCTAATGGCCTTTCAAAGATTTGGATTTTCTTTTTCCTTAAATGTGGTCTAAACTGGAAAGATGGAGGCCTACTGTCTACATGTTGGTGAGAGTAGAAAACTTGCTTGATCATGACTGCTATAACTCTGGTTGTTTTGTCTATTTTATATGTTTATCTATGTTCTCCAATATTATCTGTTTGTTTTATGACTTTTTTGGCAAATAGAATGATCTCCCCCTCCCCATTCTTTGTCATTCCCTTTCCCTTCGCTTCTCTTTGAACTCACTGTTAATTTTTCACAAGTTTATATGCTTGGCAGGTGGAGTATTATTTCAGTGATGTAAATTTGGCTACTACTGATCATTTAATGAGGTACATCAACAACGATCCTGATGGATATGGTAAGATGTTTGATTTTATTCTTTTATGACATTTGTTGTGGCTGCTGATAGTTTGCTCGATCAATTCTGTTTCAGTTATTTTCTGGCAGTCTGTTCCTTGTGATATTCTGAATATTTAGTATCCATTTCATCTGTTGATCCAATTTTCTTGAATATGACAAAACACGGTGGAGATGTATTGGTGTTCTATGGAACATGATACCATGTTATTCTGATATAAGAAGCCATTTACAGCAACTCGTCATCATCAAAATATTGATGATGACATAAAGGATACGGTTTGGCTTATGTGTAAATGGATTATATTGGCTTATGTGTAAATGGATTATATTATCTTAGTGGGAGGAGCCACCTTAGGACTTGCCCACCCTGACTTTTGAATAACCCCTTTTATATGCTAGTAGTTTGGGACCAAGATTTTGTTCATTTTAAGAATTTGCCCCCCTCCCCCCCCAAATTTCTTATAACTTTGTATAGTGAGAATAAACTTTTTATTTTTAGTTAGTTAGTGGTCCAATTTCTATTCTTAAATCGAGTAAAACATATGCAAAATATCATAGTGGTCAATGACATTAAATTTCTTCTATTTGCTGAATTATCCCCTATTTTCTTCTTATAAACCATTGTACAAGTGCTCTCAATTATTTTTCTGTAAGTTAGTAGCTCATGCTCTAATGCAAAAGTATTTTTTGCTATTTCAAAGATTTAAATTTTTAACAAGACAGGAGGATAATCTCTACTAAGTGTCACAAAAAAAATGAGGGATAATTTTGTCATGGACTTGTGATTGAGATTTGAAAAAATATTGTGTTCCACTTTCATAAATGATTGGGTTTGAAATTTCTTTTGAATTTTTTTTTTTGTATTTGTTTTATTCATATTTTGTTTAGACAAAAAGAAACTGGTTTTACAGTTTCATATACTAATTTGGTCGTAAATCTTGATCTATTTTATTAGACCTAAAATTTTATTGTATCAATTGTTTAATTTTTTTAGTAGTATTTTGCCCCACTAACCAAGAAACTTGGCTCTGCCCCTGTTCTTAGTAGATGTTTTTCAGCATACATGCTTGACTTAGGAAAAAGGGAACGAATATTATTTGGATTTCACATATTTGCATGTGAGATTTTTTTTTACTATCTTACTTGGACGAAAGAATATTCACTGAAGAAGATGGTTGCACTTTAGATCATGCCATCACGGACTAGGAAGGGACTTTTGGTTCATCGGTAACTGGATTCTTATTGGCTTGGCGATTCTGGAATGAAATTTGTATGATCCTTGTTTTTCCCTAAATTTGTATGATCCTTGTTTTTCCCTCAATGTAGGCGGACAACTAAATCAAGACCGAGAAGCTATGGGATAAGCAATTATTCATTTCATTTCTTGTTCCTTTACATTCTATTGTCCCATGGCATCCGCCAAAGAATGCTGTAGTAGCCAGTGAGAATCCACCTTTTTTGATGGAATATCAGATAAAAATTAAAGAGAACAACAATAATGATGCCAAGGAAGTGAAAAATGATTCCCATAGAGAATATGTGATGGAGTTGATTAATGCACTTGACAAGCTTAAAATATTTTATAAGTCACTAACCTGTGCCAGGTGTCTGAGATAAAGATTTTTGTTTGCAAATTTTGTGAAGCGATTGGTTACCAGATCTTTCTATGGAATTCGTCAATTGCTTCTGCTATAGTCAAAAAGCAGCTGTTGTTTGGTTGTCATTTTGCATAGTTATTGCTTGATATATTTCAGATTGAATTTATGATAATTGCCTTGACCCGATTTTCTCTCGTGTCTTATAGTGCCAATATCTGTTGTTGTGTCTTTTAAGAAGATCAAAGCCCTCATTAGTAGTAATTCACAGCTTGCCAGTCTTCTGCGGAACTCAGCAAAGCTTGTGAGTTATTTATTATCCTATTTGCTGGGAAACTTCGTTATGGTTAATACTACCCTCTTGTTTTACAAAGATCCTGCCAATTCCATTGGTTCGCCATTTTATTTTATATTTTTAATATTTTTTGTCTCATTGTTTAGGTGGTTAGTGAAGATGGAAAGAAAGTTAGACGCCAGCATCCCCTGACTGAGTCAGACATGGAAGAGTTGCAAGTGGGTCACTTGTTTGGTTTGCTTTTGTTTCAGTTGTGTGAAATCAACTTTTGTCTGGTTTATGATACATGTCTGCTCTTTCAGAGGTGTAATGCCAGAAATAATAAATGAACAACTGTATTGCTATTTTCACCATACAGGGTGGTTCTTAGATTCTTTCAATATTGTATATTTTTTCGACATTACTTTTCTTATTCAACTTCTTGATCTGCAGTCTCGAATAATTGTTGCTGAAAATTTGCCCGAGGACCATTGCCACCAGAACCTCATGAAGATTTTCTCAGCTGTAGGGAGGTACCGAGTATTTCCTTGTCAGTTTTAAACTGTATATGCAAATCCATGCCTATTTGAAAAATAGATTATAGTAATGCGGTTTATTCATCAAGTCAAATGACTTTCAGTGTGAAAACAATTCGTACCTGTCAGCCTCAAACTTCGAATGGTGGAGCAATTTCATCATCTAGGACAGTGAAAGCGGAAGGCATGCTTTTCAGTAACAAGGTAGATACTTATGTAACAGGTGGTTGCTGGCTGCTGTTATTAACTTTTCTGACTGACCATACATCAATGCCATATTTGGGATTTGAAAGTTCTTAAATGTTCGGTGACATGTTGTCCAACATGATTGCATACTACAATCTATTTGACTAATGTTAGATCGGTTTGAAATCGATAGGGTGATTTCACTGTCAAAATTTGTTTTAGTTGCCAGTTTGGATCACCTCTTTATTTAACCAACATTCGCTTCCAATTTTTTAAAAGAAATAAAAAGCACCATATAATATTATCTCTTTCTTATTCTTGTTCCTGATTTTCTTGTCATGATAAAGAATTCACATTACTCTTAGTGCATAAAGAAGGGATAGTTTAGGGTTTGACAGTCATGGAAACATGCTTTATTTTGGATTGTGGGTTTTATGGATTCTCTCAGGATGAGTCATGTGAAATGAAATCTGTGAGGCATGAACTTTGCCTTAGGTGTGGTGTTCCAAAATTCCTCTTCCTCCGGTGGGCACTCTGAAGCTTGGTAGTGATGTTATTTAATGTTCAACTTGTTCTAAACTGCTGTGAAGTTATATCTGTTTAGCAATTGCAATCTAGACTTTGAATTATTGAATACATTTTCTATTGAGTCATTATCAAAGTTGATGTTGTTTTACATTCCACCATAGTTCTGCAAATTCTAAAATGTCATTAGTATCTGAACTCCCATATTTTGTTCTTAGTTGCATGCTTTTGTGGAATACGAGTCCATTGAGCTGGCTGAGAAAGCGGTATGTACTATCCTTCATTGAAGAGGATATTTATTTTCTCTCGTCTTCTTCATTGAAGATGTTTTTTTTCTTTCTTTCACGATATGCTCTGTAGAGAAAATAACGGGCTGTTGTTTTGTACAGGTTGCAGAGCTAAATGACGAGGGTAATTGGAGGAATGGTCTAAAAGTCCGTTTATTGCTTAGACGCACAGTATGTACCAAAAGAACCTTCTTATTTTATTTGAATGCAATCTTTATCTTCTGTTGCTCAGATGGATTGTTAACTGAAAGCTAGATGGCTAACAAGAAAGTTGATGAATCTAAACACCAATCGTAAGGTCTATGACAACCTAGAAAGCATTTTGTATAAGGATCAACTTTGTAAGCCTACTTGGGTATTGAGTATTTACTTTACGAATTTGGACTAATTTTTCTTCAAATATTTTTATACCAATCCCTCATACACCTCAACTTTCCACCATCACTACCTCATTACTGCCGCCTCACCAACTCAAGCACCATCTACAACCATCACCACTGCCACACCACCCCTCCCTCCCCCACCACCACTGCTATCACCCCACCACAATCACCATCATTGCCTTGCTGCCACCACCATTGCCATTACCCTTGTTACGCCACTACCATCGTCGCCACCAAATAGTTTTCAGATGAAAAAATTAAGCATATAATATTTAAAATTTAAAATTCAGTTTTTAGTACTCAAATTTTCCTTTTTTTTTTTAGAGGGCGAGGGGGCTTGAACACTTGACCTCAAGAAGAAGGTAAAACCTTCACAAGGCAATGAGTACTATTGGACCAAAGACCTGTTGGTCAGTACTTAAATTTTCAATTTTGTTAATCAGCACCTTATTTAAAGATTGATTACCTTTAAACTCAAGTACAAAACATAGTCAAGTATGGGCCATATGGGTAATACGATAACTAGGGAACCTCACCAGTTTGATTGTTCTTGTGCTTCAGACATTGTTGCCAAGTTTGACAGCTGTAGTTGAGTTTTTTCCACATGGATTAGAGCCAAAAAATTTTCCCTCTATTCCTCCACCCCCTTCTCTCTTCCCCCCAGGCACTATGATGGGTGAAGTGGTTTTAAATCTACGAAGGACATTTATGATTACATTACTTTGGAGTGCCACGGTGGCTCTCAAGCCAACGTTTAATGAGCTGAGTTTTTATGTATGTTTATTAGTTTCAGTTAATAATTTGAGCTTTTGGATTTATCCATTGAAATATGTGTTTCTTCAATTTGCAGGGTAAATCTGCTCAAGTGCGAGTGAAGAAAGTTGGGCATGAGGGTGAAACTAACTGCAAGGAAGATGATGCATCTACATCGGAGCTGAAACAACCCAATGAGAAACATTTAGAGGATCGTTCTCAGCATACAAATGTCCAATCAAATGAGCTTGCCGTAAGTCCAATTGGCCATTTTTTAATATATATATGCTTCTTCCAATGGCTGTTATTTGAAACGGAAAAAGGACCACCAGTCCACAAAATATAACTTATGGGTCAACAGACCAAGCATAAAGTTTTTGGGTCCAAAAGGATTAAGTCCTCTCAAAAGACTCATTTACCCTCATTTAAAGAAAGAATAGTTTCATGATTTGCATCAAAATAAAATGTTTCGAAATTCGAACAAATTCAAAACTCATTTTTTGGTCTCTCTCTCTCTCTCTCACACACACACACGTGCAAACTAAAACTATTGAAAAACTATCGCCTACATCAACATAAATCCAACGATTTTCCATATTTGAGTCACCAAAAAATCATAAATCAAACATGTCAAAATCTAAAAGCCAAAAACAATATTCTTCAACAATTTTTCAAATTTAAATATAAAAATACAGGAATCATCCATAATGTAAATCTAAAAACCCAAAAATGAGGTTTTGCAAATTTATATGAAAAAAATTGGGGTTCTTTGAAGCAATCAAGAATAATAAGATAATATTGAAACCTAGATTTTCATGGTCTTTTTTTTTCATGGAAAATCACTTTGGAAGTTCTTAGTAAGAATAAATTGATTTCAAAAAGGAGTAATCTTCATCTTCATTGATTTTCGATAAGGAAATAAATAGTAAATTGTGTGTAATTATTTTTGGAATGGTGAGATTTCACTAGTGAATAATTTGCAAAAACAGAATGGGAAAAAGCTATTTTGACTGTGGGGTTCGCAGAAAATGGACAGTGAAATTGACCTATGACAGTAAAAATTAATTATGGTTAAAAACTGGCAGAGAGAGATAAACAGTGGGAAGAAAAGGTGGTTTTGGACAGCGAAATGGGGTGCTTTTGGTCTGTGAAGTATTATTTATTTTACTTTTTAATTGCATTGTCTAGTTCATTGAAATTGGACAGTGGCACATGAATTATATTGTCCAATTTCGCTGTCATTGGACAGTGAAATTGGCCCAACTTGTAGTGTAATTTCACTAGAGTGAAAGATTTGTAGAGAGAGATAGAGAATGGAAATTAACGAGTGGTTTTGGTCAGAGTGAAATAGAAATTTCAATGTTTTCAATTTCATTGTCTAGTTCATTGAAATTGGACAGTAAAATTGGAATATGACGGTGAAATTTTGCTGTAGTGAAAGATTTGTGAGAGAGAGGGAGTGGGAAAAAGGGGATGGTTTTGGACCAATTCATTGTCCAAAGAATCTTTGTACCTTGAGATTGTTGATTTCACTGTTTGAGCTCCTCAAGTTCTATAAGATCACTCATATATATACATTAGAAATTGTCTGTGCCTGAAGATACTACATATAACAAAAATAAAAACACGCAATAACCGAAGTAGCATCCAAACAGGCAATCTGCTAACATGTCATAAATGAACATATCCTGTATATATGCACGCAGATAAAAGTTTTTCATTTTTTACAAAATAATGCTACAAAATACTTGTTGGAAAAAAATAAATTATGCTACAGAATATGGAAAAACAACACATTTAACAAACCTAAGCAAAAACAAACGAGCTACTGTCTCGCTCCAAAGTGCATCACACTACATCGCTGCCAAATAAGCTCCAACTGCTTGGTGCAAGATCAGTCTTTTTCAATACTTGCAATTAAGTGCAAACTACATAAGTTACTTAAGCAATTTCTTGAGTAGGATGCAAACCAACCTCAGTTACCCAAGAAACAAAAGCAGCAAATCTAACAAAACCAAAATAAAAAATATGACAAACTCAATTAATTACTGGCGAAATGGACAATGGCATGAAGTTAGTGGTGTCGCTAGGTGAATCTGAGACCGACTACATGGGGATTCACTGAAGTAAATGGGGATTCACTGACATTGCTTATCTGATTACAGTGGCAACAATTTTGCAAATACCTTAGTTCATGACTCAGAGTAATTAATATAAAGGAACCAAAACATTGGATATGGTTCATTGAATCTAAAGTCTGCATATGCTATTGGAGGTACCAAAGTTTTATCCACCCCACTCTATCTGGTTCTATCCAATTAGTTCTACCTGCATATAAGTATTACAGTACGATGCAGGAACAAATGAGAACAAAAAATCAAAAAGATCAACAACTGAAACACAAATGTGTCTCACGACCATGCTGTTTGATGACCTGAATTGACTAACACACCCGTACTAAAATCAACTAAATACTGTAAACCACCAATTGAACGTCAGATTTGTCCCTCTCCCTCTCCCTCTCTCTCTCTGTCTTCAGTTTGTTAGCAGTCAAGTATTGACATTGTCATAGTAACACTCCATTATGAATATGTCGAAGAAGAAAATGAAGTTTATCCTTAAATTATCAATACCCTAAACTGAAAAATTCGTTCACTTTCCTACGAATTATCAAAAACCAAATAATATAAATAATCAAAACCAAATAAAATCATCATCACACGACTACAAAATTGACAAATTCGTTTAATTTCCTACTAATTCTCAGCAGCCAAACAGTAACCCAAGATCTAGAAAGCACGGATACTCGTCGGGGAATCGCCGTGGCAGTGTCGCACATGTGTCCGACACGGATACGTGTGTCCGACAATTGTAGAAGTGTCCTTAACAGTGGTTGTCATTTTTTTTTGTCAGATACGTGGGGGATACTTGGGGGATATGGTGAGATACTTTTGTTATTTTAAAAACTTAGGGGGGTCAAAACGAGAAAAAAAAAAAAGGCCAAAGCTACGTCGTTTTGGCTTGAAAAAGAAAAAACTAAAGCGTCATTGATCTGTGAACTGACTCCAATTGACATTCGGTGTGTTCAAGAGAGAGAGAGAGAGAGAGAGGAGAGGAGAGGAGAGAAGAGAAGAGGAGCTTGAGAGGACCAGAGGAGAAGGAGAGGGAAGAGGAAGGGCGACTCACTTGCGATTGCGATTGCGATCGCGCTCTGTAATTGCGATCTGAGACTGCGATCTTCTTCTTGCTTCTATTTTTTTTTTCAGATCTATTGTTGCTCTTATCTCTTCATCTTCTGGTCTGTGTGGAGTGTGGACTTTCAAAAAATTTGATTAGGCTAATTTGATTGGGAATTTTTAGGGTTTTCAAAATTTGAGAATTTTTTTTGGTCCAGTGTTGTATTGCTTGCTGCCTTCGGGATTTTTTTTTGGTCTTGGTCATCTGTGTTGCTGCCTTTCTGTGCTAGTGTGCTGCTGTCAACTGGTTTTAAATACTGAAAATTACTTTCCTAGCTTGCTGCCTTTTGGTGCTGTGTTGCTTGCTGTCCATTGGTCTTCTCTTTTTTGTTGTGCTTTCCTAGTTAGCTTTTTTTTTTGGTCATCTGTGCTGTTGCCTTTTGTGCTAGTGTGTTGTTGCCCGCTGGTTTTGAAAATTATATATATTTTTTGAATTTTGATGTATTTCAATTTAAGTAATGTTTGCTATGTCTTGTTTGTTATTATTAATGTTGTTATATATATAAAAATATTATAATTATTTTAATTATCCGTATTCTCGTCATATTCGTATCCTACATTTTGGGATTTTTCCGTGTCGCCGTGTCCGTATCCGTATCCGTGCTTCTTAGCCCAAGATCAAAGACAAATTTTATAACTGTCTCGAAGAATCACGGTAACAAAATGACCTTTGAATTCACCGAGTCTGCGTGTTAATAGTCTAGTACATTATGCAAAGTATGGATGATACAGTCATCATAGATGATGCTGCAACAAAAATAAGATAGGAAAATGTATTCCAAAGTTCTAAGTGAATTTTAAAAGATGGTTATAGGAAACTAAAGTTACAATAAAAATAAGGGTTAATTGCACCGGAGGTCTTCAAAGTATGAAGTTTGTCTCATTTTGGTCCCTGAAGTATTGAATATGTTTATATAGGGTTCCTCAAGCAGACAATGTCCAGATTGTTAACGATTTTTTATCATTAACTTGCCATATGACACTTAAATATGGACAATAATAATTTGGATAACTCTTGATTAAATTTACTCAATTTTTGGTTAAATACCTACCTAAATTACACAGTTTTAATCATGAATTATCCAAATTTTGGTTAAAAGCTATTCATATTACACATTTTTTTGTCAAGAGCTACCCAAATTTTGTTTAAGGGCAATTAAATTTATTTTTTGTTCATATTTAGCTATTACGTGACAAGTATATGATAAAAAATAGTTAACAATCTGAACGTTGTTTGCTTGAAAGACCATATAGAAACATATTCAATACTTCAGGGATCAAAATGATGCAATTGAAACATTGAGGACCAAAATGAGACAAATCCCATATTTTGGGGACCTCTAGTGCAATTAACCCTAAAAATAAATTGTAAGGTTAATAGCACTTTAGGGACCAAATTGACACAACGTGCGTACTTTAGGGACTAAAAATAGTATTCACGCTAAATTATAAATCATTTTTTTGCACACTTGTGATAAAAGGATGCATTCCACATCAAAAAATTTAAGATATGTGCATTCATAAAAATAAAAACATGATTATCCATTTGCCCAACACCTATAAGTAACATTCTTATGGATCCTCAAAAAGCAAGGCAAAAAATACACCAACTTAACAGTTACATGCACTCTACATCTTCAGTTGCAACTGTGAACCACAAACCCAACAAAAAATAATAATTCAATGTGATTTTGTTCAAAATCGAACTTTGAACACCAAATCATAGTTTACCATTCATCAATTCTGAACAAAAAATAAACCAAGTGATTCAAGATAAACATGCACTACAACAGTCAAAACTGAAATGCCAAACTACATTGAAATAGTATCATTGCATCATTAAAAATGCAGTTATGCTGGTGGGTGTGTTGGAAGCAAAAGAGATCCATGTGAGTCAGATTAGGGAAAAAAAAAAGAATAGTTAAACTCTTTTTGTTATGTAAAAAAGGCATCGACCTATATCTGAATCATGCTAATTATTCTGTAGCACGAGTCTGTATAAGTAATTGAGATAGATAAGGAGTCAGAATATGTATAAAAGAAACAAAAAAAAGCTCCCAACCTTCAATATTTTTAAATCATGCAAAGTACCTCTACAACCTAACGAATG